TCGAGCCAGCTGTTGCACATGTTGTAATAGCTGCCCATAGCAAGAGTGTGCTATGAGGGTGAATGAGTTCAATTTGCGCAATGCAGTGGCCGACGTTGCGTTGTTTTGTGCGTACTGTGTCGTGTGTGCCCATTATTGCCTCTCCGTGCACGCTCTGGCGACTAAACAATTTGCTACAATCTATGTGGTGTTGTGTTGGCTGTGCGTGCCGGCTATGTGTGCCGGCTGTGTGCGCGCACGGTTAGCACTCAGTGCGCTCTTGGTGGTGTGGGTTGGCTTTGATGGCGACGGCACTTGGCGAAGGAAGGTGCCATGTGCGCAGCTGAAGTATGTTCTGTGAAACGAGGCCAACCACATCGTCAAACTGTGAGCCCCCTCTTCATTCCCCTTGCAACACAATTTCACATTGATTTGGGAGGAGATTATTTGTGATGTGAGATTGATGTATGTGACAGTAATTTCTCAGCTTTCCACGTTCATTACGTGGAAGAGAGCCATAGCAGATGTGCCTTCATTTTGTTCGATGTAAAGGTTTTTCTCTCATCTTCTTCTTCTTGTTTCTCCCATATCCCTCTTCTTGTTTGCCCCTGTTCACCTTGCATGCACATTGTTCAGAAGCGCACCCAATCGTGGAATAACTGGCTCGATTCTAATGCCTATTGCCAGTCTGCTGTACCTCACTTCCATGTGAGTGACAGATCCCTGCCAAAAGGTTGAGTGAGCGGGTGTGGTAGGACAGTGTCACAGTGGGAGTGGCAGCGGTGGGAGGGTAGCTGCAGAGAGTGACAGTGGTGGGAGGGTAGCTGCAGAGAGTGGCAGTGGTGGGAGGGTAGCTGCAGAGAGTGGCAGTGGTGGGAGGGTAGCTGCAGAGAGTGGCAGCGGTGGGAGGGCGGGCAGCTGCACAGAGTGGTCTTCGCGAGCTGGCCAGCCCATACTGTCACATCTCTTGTGAAAGCAAGATTCTCTCGCCCGCCTTCCTTCCTCTCTCCCATCCATCCCTCCTCCCATCCTCGTACCTGCCTGCAGCAACCTGTCGGGCAACCACCTTGCAGGGGCCATCCCCGAGTCTATCAGCTCCCTCACCAACCTGCAGTTCGTGTGAGCCATCGCCCATTGCCCGCCCATACCTCCTTGCTTGCATTGCACCATTCCAATTCTTCGGCTGAACCACTTGGTATTGTGGACAGGACATGCACTTGAAGGGACTGTTGGTGATGGGGGTTCTTTAATACCTCTTCTGTGTTGTTTGCTTCCACTCCACACGATCCCAATCCCCTTTTCTCGGCAGGGATTTGTCAGTCAACCAGATATCAGGGGATTTATGGAGCAGCCTTGGAAATCTGAAGAAGTTGCAATTTCTGTAAGTCTGTGTTCGCATGTTGCTTCCCCTCCACCTCCATCCCCTGCGGCCTCGTTCAAAAGCAGCAGACCGCCCAGCAGTGCGCTGCCTTCTGCAGCCTCTCCCCGCCCTCAGCGGCGCCCTGTGCGGGCCGGGGCTACTACTTCTGGCAGGCGCCTTAGACCAGCAGCAACGCCACGAGCGCGTGTGCCCCGCGATTCACCACCGGGGCCTTCCCTGCCATCTGCGATTCCGTCCTGCCTGAGTCCGAGTGTAAGGCTCAACAATCAATCAGATGGTGGGTGATTTCGAGATGCATAGCATGTCCCATCCCCATGTCCTGCTGTGCGATGCTGGAGCAATAATACCGTTTTCCTATGCCCCAGTCCTCACACAAGGGTTGAACCTTGAGCCTAGCATGTACACGCCGAGCCTTTTGTACCCTGTCCCACACGCCTCTCCAACACACCCCTGCACAGGGCTAGCTTTGGAAGCACTGGCAATAGCATGGCGGGGGTATGACGGGAAGGGCACTTGGAACAAAGAGTGACTTCGCTCTTGCACCTTATTCTCAACTCTCCCTCTTCATATCTCAAATCCTCTCATGCGCCCCTCACGCACGCCCCTCCTCCCACATACCCCTGCACAGGGCTTGCATTGGAAGCACTGGCAACAACATGGTGGGGGTATGATGGGGAGGGCACGTGGAGCAAGGACGCGCGGTGTGCCAACATGCGGCACATCACGTGTGACGCACAGAACCATGTCGTGAAACTGTAAGGAGCATTGCGGGGACACTTGTGAGTCGACTCAAAGGATGCCCCGTGCGCCAGCATGCGGCACATCAGATGTGATATGATGCCCAGAACCACGTCGTGGAATGGTAAGGAGCTCTACGGTGCTGTGCATGTGACATGCTGTGAATCAGGCTACAACGGTAAGGCTGGTTGTTTGGCATCAACTTATGGAACATGCAATTTCTCAACACGCACGTGTGAAAAAATCATAACCCATGAGTGGGGGAGTGCGCCTGGTTCTCAATATTCTGGTCCCTGTGCGTGCTAATGCAGGGATATTGCCAACACTTGAACCTCTGGGAGCATGCAAGAGCTCATTGGGAATCTCATCTACCTCACTAACCTGTGAGCATCTCACTGCCCTATGAGCATCTCACTGCCCTGTGAGCATCTCAAGCTGTTTCCTGCTGAAGTTTCTGTTAGCCCCTTTCTTGAAGAGAGGAAAGGGGCACAGTGCTAGCCTCAAAAGGCGCCTTGTGTTTTCATGTGTCTTCCTCAACTCGCCAACCGATTGTACTCACCTTTCATGCATCTCCATCCACTCCACCACACTCATCTCACCACCGAACCGCGGTGACTTTTGAGTCGACTCAAAAGATACCTTCCAAATGTCGTGATCCCTCATGCTCCATGTATCTCCATTCCACTCCACCACAATCATCTTACCACCGAACCGTTGAACGTTCCCAGAAATGTTGGAACCAACCGTTTCAGTGGCTCCCTGCCGACGACGTTCGGAAAGCTCACCAATCTGGTCACGTTGTAAGTGAATCTGTCTCGCTTTGCTAGATTCACTCTGTCTCACTTATGTTTGTGTGGTTGGGCGCATGGGTGCAGGAGTGTTGGAGTGAACGGCTTCAACGGTCAGATTCCTCAAGGTCTTTGCAACATGACGAGCCTCACAGCCATGTAAGTGGGTGGAATCATGATTACACGTTCTTCACTCCGCTTTGTTTACCCACTCTCTCTTCATTCGCTTCTTGGTTCAATCGGTGGTGCTAACCTGTGCAGTACGTCGGGCATGGGGCTCGTGCTTGGAGGGCAACGTCCAGTGGTCCTCACAGGTCACGCAGACGCTTCTTGGGCTGACGACCAGGCTACGCAGTGGTCGTCACAGGGACACCTTCAGCCTTGGTTCCGACTCTGTTTCGTGGCGGTCTACCCGCTCATCTTCTGTTTTCAGCTCCAGCTGTGAGGCTGAGATCTACGCGGGGGCCATGGCTTCACAGGAGCTACGGTGGCTCACCTACCTTCTGACTGACCTAGGAGAGGCGCCTCGTTCTCCTCCAGCTCTGTACGTAGACAACAAGGCCATGCTGGCCTTGTGTCTGGAGCACAGACTGGAGCACAGAACGAAGCACATTGCTCTTCGCTACTTCCTTGCTCGTGAGCTGCAGCAGCGTGGTCAGCTGCGCCTTGCTTACGTGGCCTCTTAGGCCAACACTGCTGATATCTTTACCAAGGCACTTCCGCCTTGTGATCATCAGCGCTTTTGTACGATGCTAGGTCTTGTGCCTACTTGGCCTCACTAGCTCATTTCTTGATCTTGCTTGTACTGTGATCTTTCTGTACATGCACTTGCTTGTTTACCTTTATATATAATCTTGCATGTGAGCTGGCCTTGTGGCCTTGAACTTGTGCTTGGAATGTGTGGTGACGTTGTGATCCACCCTGAGCTTGGTGTGCTTTCCTTGACTGGTCTTGTGACCTTTTGTTCTCCCCCACTTTGCCTAAAGGGGTGTGTCAAACTTATATGTATGATCTATCTAGGCTGTAGTGGGGTAGACACTACAGGGTACAACACTTCTAGGTTTCCTACTTGTACCCACATGTTTCCTAGTCGACTCATTCGTCGTTATTGTCACAAAGGAATTAGGCAAATGGTTCACCACCTAGCAGGAAACTAAGATAACAACACTAGGCTACTGTAGGCATTTATATGAATGTATACAAATACATTCCAACAGGATACTCACTGTGGGGTACAAACCCTTAGGTTTCACTTTTGTACCAAACTTCTTGATAGTTCAATCACTCCTTGCCTAAGATTCTAACACGTGAGGGATTGGATGTGATGACACTGGTGAATAGCAACAGGCAAAGGACGCATCGGGTGGGTTGGGCTGGGTTAAGCTGGACTAAACTGGATTGGGTTGGGTTGAGAGCTTTGTGCAAGAGAGCTGTTTCCAAGGTGAACGGATGAACGGCAATAATGGCGATTAGAAGTTTTCTCGATGCCCTGTTACGAAATATTTCAGTACATGAACAATTCTTGTACCACAACATAGACAACTATTGCGCACATAGTGTGTCTTGTTGGGCTGAGAAAAGCCCTTAGGATCTTTGCAGGACTAAAGTCTAAGTAGAACAATGTAATAGCGGAAGCGTTTATTGAAAAGTGTGTGAACCACCTTGCGCTGGTATGTGAGGGCAAAGTAGATTGATTAAAGCAAAGAGATAAAAGCTTTTATATGAGTACAAGGGAATATCAAAGGTTATAGCTTCTAACTGTTTTACTGTTGCTGTTGCGGTTCGATAGGGTGACGACTCGGGCAACTGCTCAATAACGAGTCAGTTGTTTGTGTTAGAATTACTTTATTATAACTGCATTTAGATCTAGCAGTAGTGTAGTTATCACATTTTCCTCTTTGGTGGTTTACCCCCTTTCCTCCCTATTTGTACCTTTGACTCTATAGTGAAAGAAACCCCTTCCTGTTTCTCTCGCTCATGCTACCCCAAACCCTAAGGCTACTATTCTGACATGGTAACCAGAGCTGTAAGATCCTAAGACATAATTTTTTAGGATCATGGGCCCACCCGTCGTGCAGCCCGTAATGCGCCCCACGGGTTCCCCGAATCGCCCCATGGACAACCCCCACGGGTCCCGCGTTTCGCTCTCTGCAGCCCCCCCTCCCCCCCCCCCCCCCCCCCCCCCCCCCCCCCCCCCCCCCCCCCGTTTTGCGCTCCGAAGGCCTGCTCGTCACGCCCGTTGCGCCCTCCCCGTCGCGCTTGTCCGCCCTGTCCGTCCGTCACGCCCTACGCGCCCTTCCCATCCGTCGCGCCCCCGCTGCGCGCCGTCCCGTCCCTTCACGCGTCGCCTGCCTCGCCCCGTTCCGTCACGACCGCAGCAGCAGCAGCGCGCAGCTGCGTACAACCGTGCGCACCCACGCACGGTCGTGTTCGTCAGCGCCAGCGCCAGCGACTGTCAAACTTATATGCTATAGTCTGTGTAGGCTGTAGTGGGGTAGACAATATGGGGTACAACATTTCTAGGTTTTCCTACTTGTACCCACCTCTTTCCTAGTTCATTTATTCCTCAATTCTCACATGGTATCAGAGCAGGTTCTCTAGTGGGAACTTCCTAGGGCCACCACTGAACATCGACTCTTTTTTCTGACCGGAGCGTGAGTCGCCCCTGCCCGAAGTGCGCCCCGTCGGCCGCCCTTTTGTCGAGCCCTCCTAGAGGCCCCTCTCACGGCCCCTCGCGCCACCCTTAGCGGCCCCGTCGCCACCCCTAGCGGCCCCATCGCCGCCCTTCTAGGCCCCTCGAGGCCCCTTCTCGGCCCCGTCGCCGCCCCTAGCGGCCTCGTCGCCGCCCTTCCAGGCCCCTCGCGGCCCCTTTGCGGCCCCATCGCCGCCCCTAGCGGCCTCGTCGCCGCCCTTCCAGGCCCCTCGCGGCCCCTTCGCGGCCCTGTCTCCGCCCCTAGCGGCCCCATCGCCACCCTTCCAGGCCGTTTGCGGCCCCTTCGCGGCCCCGTTGCCGCCCCTCACGGTCGCGTCGCCGCCCCTCGCGGCCCCGTCGCCGCCCCTCGCGGCCCCATCGCTGCCCCTCGCGGCCCCGTCGCCGCCCTTCGCGACCCCGTCGCCGCCCCTAGCGGCCTCTGTTGCCGCCCTTCCCGGCCCCGTCGCCACCCTCTAGCGGCCTCGTCGCCGCCCCTTGCGGCCCCGTCGCCGCCGCATTTCGGCCCCTCCCTGGCCCCTTCACTGCCAAGCCGCCGAGCCGCCAAGCAGCCGAACAGCCGAGCAGCCGAGCCGCCGAACCGCTGAGCCGTGCAGCAGCCAAGCCACCTGTCAGAACATTATAGCTTATACATTTGTGTAGGCTGTAGTGGGGTAGCACATAGTGGGGTACAACCAAATTAGGGTTAGTACTTGTATTGAACTCTTTCATGGTTCAATCATTCTCTCGTTTCATTCTTCACATAGTACAGAGCTGGTTCCCTCGTGGGAACTGTGCCTAGGGCCCACCAACCTTTTTTTCCTGCCTGAAGCACGTTTGGCCCCTGCCCGAGTCGCGCCCCGAGTCGTCCCCCCTCTTACGGCCCCGTCGTGCCGCCCTTTCGGCCTCGTTGCGCTGCCCTTGCGGCCCCGTCACACCGCCCTTACGGCCCCGTCGCGCCGCCCCTTACGCGGCCCCGTCACACACACTGCAGAGCTGGCCTACCTACAAAAAAGCACCATTTTCCCCTCAGGCGGCGTCCTCACAGACCTCACCACGCCCTCCTCGGGATCCCTCTTCTCCGCCTAGCCTCTGCCACTCTTTTCCTTTGCGGTCCTCAGCGATGGCTGTGGCCGCGAGTTTTACTTCAAGGCTAACTTCTCCTTCACCATGCTCCGCTCCGGCAAGACGGGCGGCGACGGCTTGGCATTTGTGATCTCCAAGACCGCTGCGGCAGGCACCCAGGGCGGCATGGGGTACGGAGGGATGGAGAGGGTGAGCATGGCAGTAGAATTCGACACTTGGCTGAACAAGGAGGACAAGGACGCCAGCAACAACCACGTGGGAGTGAACGTGAACGGGAGCGCCATCTCCAAAGTCTCGGTGAAGAGCAAGCTGCTGCTGAATAGTGGCATGCCGTACTTTGTGTGGGTGGAGTACAGCCCTGCAGGCAACGGCACGCTGAACGTGTCCCTCGCCACCATGCCCTCTCCCAAGCCTGCCAAGCCGATGCTCTCCACGCCCCTCTCACTTTGTGATGTGCTCGAGCCCATCGATGCCTCCACCTCTTTCTACTTTGGGTTTGTCGCCTCATCACGGGCGCAGTTCACCCAGCAGCACACCGTTGGCATCACCACTGTTGAGACTGGTGAGTCATCAGATTCCTTGTAGCGTATAGGGCGAGACAGCCATGCTGATATCACATTCTTTCAAATTTTGCGATCATTGGTGGTTGCACTCGGAGATCCTATCTATCTCCCACTGCCGTGTGTAGAGCTACGTCTCCTTATTGCATGTATTCTCTTGTTTTCCCCCTCGTATTCTGCTGCAGGCTACGCTCCAGCCTCCACGCTTTCGCACCGCAGAGGTGAGTGTACATTCACTCCCTTCGTCAACCTCGTCGGGTTGTCATTTGGACAAACGCACACAAATAGGCACCCATTCAGCACAGCACAGTGCTCATGTTACCCTTCCATGCAAGCAAGAGGGGGTCCGTGCTTGAGAGAGCAAGGCCATCGGCTACATCGGGTTTGTTTGATATTCGTTCCCATCTCCATTTGATATCCATGCGCATGCCCACGTGCATATATTCTGTCGCATCTAAATAGCTGCATTTCTCACAAAAATTTTCCAGGTTCATGATGTGATCTCAGTATTCAATTAGTTTGTGCAATGCCATGCCTCTCCTCCTGTCTCCATGGTATCACATGATAACGACGCTACCCACCTCACTACACATGTCACATATATGAAAAAACTGTATATTTCCAGCCTGCCCCTTCCCAGCTACTTTCTAGCCCCCTTTATTCCTCATTCCCTGCCCACCAGCAGCAGCCCCTTCATGCGCTACGTGAGCCTCTTTTCCAAAATAACAATCTCAAAGCTTCCACCATCTCTAGCCGCCCTCCCTGCAGCCACATGCTTGGTGGTGTCAGTGAACACACTACGCCCAGCCACCAGCAATCCCTTCACGCGGTTCTCGAGCGCGGGGTACTCGCCGCGTTTCAGAATACTCAAAACGATGATCCCGTGTTGCCCGCCCTCCTCTCAGCCACGGGCCTGGTGATGACAGAAGCCACGCTCCGCCCCGCCACCAGCAGCCCGTTCACGCGCTACGTGAGCGCGGGGTACTCGCCAGCGCAGGATGGGCAGGCAGCGTGGACGACGCGCAGCTACGTTGTGTGAAGCAACATGGGGCAGCTCTGGCTGGTGTCCGACCAAGGCTTCTGTGGTGAGTCAGAGCCCTGAGGTTGGAGCAAGGGTCCCTGACGTTGACTCCCTGTAGTGGGAGCAGTGGTAACTGTGCCTTGCACAATCTTGGCTTGTGTTGGTAGCGAGGCTTGTGCTAGGAGGCATGCTGTGGTACCGCAATGTCAATTAAAACAAAAAACAGGTGATTAATATACTTACATTGCGTACTAAACATTGCAGTGGCCTAATTCTAAACATAATGTTAAGCAACACACTTGCACTTCGTACCAGACATGATGTGAAGTATCGCACTTACACATAGTACCAAACACATGGGTAGTTAATGTAATTACAAGTAGTATCAAACACAATGTTAATTATGTACATATATTAAAAAAAATCATAAGGTTAAGTAAAGCATTTACAGTTAGTGCCATACATAAGGGTATATTACGTGTTTACATCAGATACTAAATGTATGATTACATTAAACTTTAAACCATTTACAAAAAATATCACACTTATACGAGATATTAAACTTGACGTACAAAACATATCATCAATTATCGCACTTACACTAGCAAGCATAATCTCATACATTTACTCCAAACGTAAGGGTATGTGTCTCATGTATAATTAGTATCAAACATAAGCTGCGTGTAACAGACGTACACTTAAAATCAAACATAAGGGTAATGAATCTCATCACACTTAGTACCAAACATTATAACTATGCCTAAACCTAAAGGGTAGTTAATATACTTACACTCAATAACAAACATAAAGGTTATCAACAAACGCACATTTCGTACTACCATAAGGTGGTTAAGTAATTGCTTTTACATTACACACCCCGATGGTGCATGCATGTAGAGAGCTGCTGGGCATACGCAGTGGTGGCAAGCGTGGAAGCAGCGTACGGCATCGCCAACAATAGCAGCAGTGGCAGCTACCCATCTCTCTCTGTGGACTCACTCTACAAGCTCATGGGGCTGCCGAGCTGCTCCCAGGGCTCGCCCTCCCTCGCCTTCAAGCGGCTCACTGAGCTGGCAGCGACCAGTGGCGGGCTGGAGGAGGCCACTCCCCGCAAGTCGCCTGTCAGGGCTTCGGCTTCCCCCTTCGCCACAACTCCTATTGTAAGGCTCGCCCAGCTATGTTGGAGATGTTAGTGGGAATTCTTCTAGGTAACTGTGGGGGCATCCTTGGTCGCACTTACTAAACACTGAGTCGCGAGTGTGTTGGCCTTTTGCTTTGCTCGTCGCATGCAACCAACCAGCACATTTCATGCTGTATCATATGCTCACACAATCAACCATGCTCACACAATCAACCGTTCTCACACAATCACATGCTCACACAGTCACAAGCTCATGCAATCACATGCCCAAGCAATCACATCAACATGCCACCACTGACCTTCTCATGCGTGCAGTGCAGGCAAAGAAGCATGTGGTGAATGGGTTTGATTTAAGACGACTTCAAACAAGTTCGCCTTCCCATACATGCGTGCAGGTGAAGAAGTACGTGGTGAGCGGGTTTGAGCGCACGGCCTTCAAGGGCTACTTTGGCCTCCTGCTGGCCGTGCAGCGGCAGCCTGTGGTGGTTCACATCCAGGCCTCTGCCGACTCCTTCATCTAGTACAATGGGGTACAAATATCATTTGGTGCAATGGGGTATGTGTGACATGCCTCCGCTTGTGTTTTGAGTTGACTCATAACACTTTGGCCTCCTGCTGGCCGTGTAGCGGCAGCCTGTGGTGGTTCACATCGAGGCCTCCACTGAATCCTGAATACTGTACAATGGGGTAAGAATCCGTTCTGGTACAACGGGTATGTCATGAAGTGCACCGTGGTTACGTGGCACAATGGATAGTATCCCTCCGCACAACTGTGTGCTTGTTTCAATCAAAGGGATGTCCCAGACCTGCTGCTCCTGTGGCCAGTGGTATTTTAAGCAAGTGGCGTTTTAACTGTAGTTGCAACTCAATCTATATGTCCTTTTTGACACAATCAACTCCTCCCATCCCATCTCATCCCATCCCTTCCCTTCCCATCTTGGCTTAACATGTGATTCCTTGCAATCCAATCCAAAACCACGTCATGCGCTTCAATTCAATGCCTGCACGCCGCCGTTCTCTTCCCCATGGGCTCCTTTTCTGTGGCATGCAGCTGCAGAAGTATCAGGACCCAGGCTGCTACACGGACAACCTCAACCACGTTGTCCTCCTTACAGGCTTCCTCATGTTAGGCACTGACGACAGCCGGCCCCACATCTTTGCGCCATTTTGGCTCATCCGCAACTCATGGGGGTCGCAGTGGGGTGATAACGGGTACATGCGCATGGGCATAGAGGCGGGGAGTGGCGTGTGTGGTATCAACGTGCTGCCTGGCATTTACCCCATCGTCAAGCGTGATTCAGGCTACGGTCTTAGGGCAAGGGTGCATTCAACTTGACTTGTGTCATCGAATATTTGTGAGCGTTTGACGAAGACAACTCAAGTTGCCCACACGATATTTAAAAGTTTCATTGGTGCTCAACCCGTGCGGCACCTTCCAGTACACTCCTGACGGCACCAAAACGTTGTCCATGCGTCACTCTCTCAGTGTCCCCACCCAGGAGGAGGTGTATCTCAAGTCTTGTAAAGATGCTCCTCTGTCCCTCCCTGCCACTCCCCACCAGCTGCAGTCAACCCCTGCTTGGTGAGGGCGTAAAAGTACAATAGTGAGTTGTCATCGGTGCTCAACCCGTGTGACTTTCAATTCAACTTAAAAGTCTCCATCTCTCCCTGCCACTCCCCACCAGCTGCGGACGACCCCTGCATGTTGAGGGCATCCAAGTACATCGTGAGTCATCGTCGGTGCTCAACCCGTGTGATTTTTAGGTGCATAAAAAGTCGCCTCAAATTGCTCCTCCGTCCCTCCCTCCCCGCCATACCAGCTGCGGACGACCCGTGCATGGTGAGGGCATACAAGTACAGCAGTGAGTCGTCATCGGTGCTCAACCCGTGCGGCAGCTTCCAGTGCACCCCTGACGGCACCTCCAACCACTGCGCCTGCACGGCGCCCTTCAAGGAGGTCACCAACGCCGACGGCATGCGCTCCTGTGCTTACAGTGAGTGTGACAACGCTGGTGGTGGCGCTTGTATGCCGTGCTGTGCAGAGGCGTTGCTCGTGCCATTGTATGTAATATTTACATGAGAGCGAGCATGTTGGGACAACGAACATCAAGTTTCCTTGGAAAATCACGTGATCAGCAGCAGCACGAGCATCCCATGCAACCCTGTAGTCAGACCACTATGCTAAATGTGACTGTGCTGTCCATCCATGCCCTCTGTTTGGTTTGTTTCCGCCAGTGAACGTGTGCAGGAGCAGCACGCGCAACCCCTGTGAGGTGGGCACATGCATGGACGATGGCGAGGGCGCCTACACATGTGTGTGCCCGCCCACCCACACCCCTGATACCACCATTGACGGCTTCCCCACCTGCTCCAAAGGTGCGCGCGGAATGCTATGTGGGTTTCAACTGCCATTACAATGATGGAGCTAAGTGTGACAATTGAGTCGACTCAGAAGTCACCTCATGATGCGACTCAAAAGAGATAGAGCGGGAGAGAGAGTAGAGAGAGAGAGAGAGGCCTAGTCCTTAGCCACCCCAACCCTCCTCAGCCTAGTATAAAGGCCTTAGGACCTGGCCCTCGAGCCTCATTATTCAGTTCAGTGCTCATTTTCTCTCATAACCGAGTGGGAGAGAGAGTAGAGAGAGAGAGAGAGGCCTAGTCCTTAGCCACCCCAACCCTCCTCAGCCTAGTATAAAGGCCTTAGGACCTGGCCCTCGAGCCTCATTATTCAGTTCAGTGCTCATTTTCTCTCATAACCGAGCGGGAGAGAGAGTAGAGAGAGAGAGAGAGGCCTAGTCCTTAGCCACCCCAACCATCCTCAGCCTAGTATAAAGGCCTTAGGACCTGGCCCTCGAGCCTCATTATTCAGTTCAGTGCTCATTTTCTCTCATAACCGAGCGGCTCGCGCCGGCCGCCTTCGACGGCCGACGCTCGACAGCGCGGCCTGCGGCCGCGCGCCTAGGACGACAAGGCAACAACAAGCAACTATACGGACCACTGCATACATCCATGGCAAGCCACACAAGTTCCTAGGCAAGACAAAGCAATGGAGCCCGAGGAGGCGGCAACTACATGCGATCCACCTCAAGGGGACCGAGAATCCCTGTCAGGGACCTCCACAACTCCCGTACTACCAACGAGCTTGCGCCGATCGCGTTGGCTGCAGACCCTGCACGCAAACAACGCCGCAGACCACGAACGGCAGCGTCAAGCTGGCCCACAGCCCCAACGGCTCCCCGCGCGGGCGCAGCCAACACGGGCACCAGGAGGAGGGAAAGCTACTCCGCCGCGTCAAGGCAATCCTCCCGTTGTCCGTCAAGGAGGACGCCTAGGGGAGCCCGCGTCAGAGACGCGTGCGCCTGCACCTGAATCAGCAGGAGCGCACGCAGGCTCTCAGAGAGCCGCCACACCTGGCCAAGCGTCGCCGCCGGCACGCGCACCCGCGGGGGAGGAGCCTCTAGGGCATGAAAAGGAAAGTGAGAAGCGACAACAGGTGGAGCAGCATCAGACGGGTGAGCCGTCACCACTCCTGCCGCCGCGGACACAGCCTCCAGGCCCGCCACAGGAGGCATCCGCAGCAGCCGAAGGTGCGCCCCAGGTACGGAGGTTGATGCAGCAGGAGCAGGAGGAGGAGGAGCCACAGCAGGAAGTGCGGCCACAGGAGGTGCAGGAGGGGGAGCCACAGGCGCCGGCGCGACATGCCGCGAGCTGCCCCGGCTGGCCTGCTCAGCCCTCTCCTCGCGTATTGCAGCCGAAACGACCCGCTGCATATCCGCAAGCGTCAGCGGTGGCTCATACGCCCCGCCACCACGACCGCGACCACCCCTCCAGCCACCGCGACCTCCACGGTGGGCAGGCCAGTCCGCCTGCGATAGGCGACGCCAAGGAGAATCACGACGGCGTCGCGACGACTCCCGCTCATCTCGCGGCAATGGTGAGTGAGGACGAGAGGGACGGCGATGTGGGGACGGATGACGCTGAGCCGGCCGGGCAGCAGGGGATGACGCAGGAGCCGACGGCGAAACGGCATCCCCCGCCTGGTACAGGACGGCGCTGGTGGCTGGAGGCGGCTGGTAAGACGGGTCAGCAGCAGCAGCAGAAGGCGCCCCGGCGGGCGCAGCCTGTGGCGGCACGGAGGCCGCCACAGCAGCCGCACACGAAGCCGCAGCAGCGGGCGGAGGAGGTTGCGCCAGAGCAGGCGCCGCGGCAGGCGCAGGAGCAGACGCGGCTGCCGGCACCGGTGCAGTCGCCGCAGCAGGTGCAGGAGCAGACGCCACACCGCGTGCTCCCAGGTGCGCCAGTTCAGGAGCAGGGGTTGTCACCACAGCAGGCGCGGACGACGACGCCACGGCAGGGGGTGGCGCCACAACAGGCGCAGGGGCCAAGTCAGCAGGAGGCACAGGCGACGGCGCAGACACAGGATCGGGAGGGGGCGACATCCCCGCAGGCGCCGGAGCCGGTGCCGATAGAGCGGGAGGGGCAACGACAGCTGACGCCACGGCAAAGGGCCTTGGCGAATACACGAGATCGTCCCCAAGCGCGACAGGCATCTCGGCGAGAACGAGGCGCAGGGCAGCAGAACACGGGTGGAAGAAACGGCGGACCGGAGAACGGGTTCCAACGAGCAGCGCGAAGGGCTTTAACTCGAGAAGCAACTAATGAAGAGGAAGAAGCACGGGATGCTACTTATATTCCCACAGAGGTAGCTGAGTCCTCAGAGGAAGACGCAGTCGAGGAGGAATTGTGCCTGCCTGAGGAGAGAATCGCAACACCAAGCCAAACCGCATCGCGGAATTTGGCCGGCCCACGAAACCGAACCGCATCTGCAAACATTTCCCCCTCTCGAGCCGCGCCAAGTCTTGCACCAACTGGTCGGGCCGCCCCTCCTGGCCGAACCCAACCCACCACCACCCGGCCAACTCTCCCACCACCGCTGGAGGAAAAATCGCCAGAGGCACTGGCTGCAGATAACACGCTTTTCGCTGCCGTGGAAACTTGGGACTTGACGAAACTCTGTGACACTCGCAACGCACCTCTGCCACGCCACCTCCCACAGGACATCCGCCCAATTTTCGCGACAGCGCTGCTAGCCCCTCTGCTCCGACTGGCTAACAACCCAGAATCACTGCCAGCATGGTCAGTCTTCTTGTTCCTCGCACGACTGATGCTGAGACAACACACTCCTCAAAAACCGGATTGGCCGGCAGTCAGGGCAAGATTGCGACAGTTCTTGGCGGGGGAGTGGAGTGCACTGTACTCTGACATGCTCGACTCTCTGACCCACCCTCAAGCGCCCAGGCATGCCCCTGACGACCTAGGAGTGATTGCAAGGGCAGAGGGCCTTGCGCGACGTGGCAGCCTAAGGAGAGCGGTTCTTGCCCTGGAGGCGACGCCGGTGTGCACCCCGTCACCAGCAATCCTGGAAGCACTGCGCGCCAAACACCCACCTGCTCCTGAAGCACCCCTCATTTGGCCGGTACCGGACTCCAACGCCCACTTGTCGGCCACCTTGCCCGAGTTTCTCAGAGTTCTGTCACGCTGTGACAATGGGATTGGGGCGGGCCCATCAGGTCTGACATTCGAGCATGTGCGGGAGGCGTGCCTAGTCAACCAGTCAGTGGCGACAAACATCCACGCAATGGTCAACACCATTCTGACAGGGAAACTGCCATCCCCAGTTGCCAGGCTCCTCACGGCGTCTCGCCTACTGGCTCTCTCCAAACCAGACGGAGGGACAAGGCCGATCGCTATTGGTGAAAGCATCACCAGACTCGCCGCCAAAACAGCTCTGATGTTGACAGCAGGCGCAGCAAAAAAATTCTTCATGCCACACCAGTTCGGCGTGGCAGTGCCTGGGGGAGCGGAGGCGGTTATCCACATCACCCGCGCCTACCTGTCTGAAAATCCTTTTGCACTAGTCCTCCAGGCAGACCTAGCCAACGCCTTCAACAGTGTCAACAGAGCCGCAATAGCATCCGCGCTAGACAACTCGGCTCTAGCACCACTACTACCATTAGTACAACTCACCTACGGGGCCCCATCACCGCTCTACCTGGACAAAGGCTTCAAGCATGAGCCCCTGCTAAGCATGACGAGAGTTCGGCAGGGAGACCCTCTTGGGCCACTGCTGTTTGCAGCTGCAATCAATCCCGCGCTACAAGCTACAGCCAAAGCCTTCCCTACTGTAGCCTGCCTAGCGTACGCAGACGACGTCACCTTCCTAGGGGAGCATTCGACCTGCGTAGCAGCGTTTCAGCAATTCACAGAGAGCCTCATGCCAATTGGCCTGCATCATAACCCATCTAAGTGTGCGGCCTGGTCACAGTCAGGCATCCCCACCTCTGCCTTACCCCCGGGTGTCCCGTTCACTAGAAACGGCGTGAAACTGCTAGGCAGTTTCATAGGCTCCGATGAGGCCACAGCAGACTTCATTCGTTCAAACCTTAGCTCCATGGCGGCACCTCTTGGCCTGATAGCACGGATGGAACCTCAGCTGGCTGCCCTGCTACTCTCCAGGTGTATCTCAAGACGAGTTTCTTACCTCACCCGGTCCACACCCCTCATGCATTTGCCTCTGAATGAGTGGTCCGGTTGGGGCAGGCAGTTGTTTGAGACTCTGTTAACGGCATGTGGCATTATGCATCCGCGGGGTGATGCTGAGATCTCTCGTACATGGTCCCAAGCTTCACTGCCAGTATCACTTGGGGGCCTCGGAATCACTGACCCCGCGGTCGAGGGCAGCTACAGCTACCTAGCTAGCTTTACCCAGGCACAGCAGCTGCTCTCAACCCTTGAAGATAACCAGTTAGGGCCCCTGACGGGGACACGGGTGCAGATGATGGGACCGTACACAGACTCCTGCGCTCTCTACCGCTGGCTAGCTCAGTGCGAGGCAGACCTACCGAGTGATGCCGGGGAGCTACTACAGAGCAACAGGACTGCTCCCACGGGTGTGAAGCTGCAGCAGGGGCTAGCTTTGGCAGTCCAGGGCAGAAGATATGCTAACCAGGTGGAGAGCACACGGGGCATGACCCCAAACCCCAATAGCGGCCACACGCAGCGCCTTCTCTCTTTGTCAGGGTACGGAGCCGGGGACTGGCTCCATGCAGTCCCGCTCATGCCCTCCCTGAGGCTCGACGGTCCCCACTTTGCCACAGCCCTCCAGTTCAGGCTAGGACTACCATTTTCAGCCCCCGGCGCTTGTGACTGCACCAAGCAGGTTCCCATCCCAGACAAACGGCTTCCAAACCATCTGCTACGCTGCGCCACAGGAGGGGGAAGGACAAATACTCACAACGAGCTGAGGGATGAGTGCATTAGGATGGCACAGTACGCCGGGTTCATGGTGCACAAGGAAACGGCGGAGTTCTGCCCGGTCACTAGGAAGACAGCGGACCTAGCCATTCGTGATCGGTCCTCA